GGACATCCACCTAATTGTTATTATCTTTGCAGGACATGGGGGTAAAATCATTGATGGAATTAAAGCCCCGGAGAACTCGATGCAGTATATGGCCTCGTTGCAGAACAACGGAGGTCATTTCTGTGGAGGATTCCTCATCAGTAAGGACTTTTTGCTCACTGCTGCGCACTGCGATTCCCCGTAAGTCGTTTATTCACCTCATGTAATTAGAAATCAGTAAAATAATTATTCAAATCATCCAAACCCACTATTTTCAAAAAATGTTTGCTTTGTTTTGTTGCTGGTAAAACAATTTGAGAAAAACATCTTGATTATAACTTTTTTTAGGACTCTATCTCATGTTGTTCTTGGCACCCACAATCTCAAGAAGGCTGATAAAACAGAGCGAAACATTGCAATGAAGTGCAAACACCCATCTTATCAAAATGTTGAAACAGGGAATGACCTCATGCTCCTCAAAGTAAGTACATATCCATTCAGCCTAGTTGTCCCATCAGTGAAATTATAGCGTTTAAGGTATGCAAAAGAACATTGGTTCGATTAAAAATGTGTTATTTCCAGTAAAGATGAATGTAAAAGGTGGCAGTAAAGCAGCTAAGGTTCGATTACGGCCTGCCCTGCGCTGCATGTCATCCCCTTCCTCTCTCCCCTGCCTTTCTTCCCTGTCTCTCTCAGGCTGTCACTATCACACATGAAACAAAGAAATGCCAAAAATTAATCTTTAAGAGATTTTATCCATTAAAAATTACATTCAAAACTCTAGCAAAACCTATTCAGGGTAACAACAGCTGCATGTACTGTAAGACTGCTAACAAAAACCTTCATTTAAATGATTCATTCGCTCCAACTTCTGGCAAATGTTTAACTGAGGTCTGATGAAGAGGAAGACGTGTTTAGACAGCCAGTTTTTAATAATTTCTACTTTCTGATTTTGTGTGTCTCCAGCTGTCTAGTGAAGTTCACCTGAGCCAAACAGTAAAAGTTATCCCGCTTCCTAGCTCTGACATGAACATACAAGAAAATGAAATGTGCCATGTAGCTGGATGGGGTTCAACTAGAACTGACAGAGTTGTTGATGACCTGAGAATGGTGGATGTGTCTATCATTAACTGGAACGTCTGTAAAAAGGAATGGCCTAAACTTTCTGACAATGCTATCTGTGCAGGTGGATATGGCACAACAAAAGGATTCTGTCAGGTATTGTTTCTGCCCTTGTTTCTAAAAAAACATTTTACATCATCTTGAATGAACATATTAAGATATTGTCCTCCTGACAGGGTGATTCTGGTGGTCCTCTGGTGTGCCGCGGGGTGGCTGTTGGTGTTGTGTCTTACAACAAATATGCCAACTGTAACTACCCAGACGCTCCCAACGTCTATGTGGATATCTCAAAGTTCCTTCCCTGGATCAACAAGGTTCTCAAGGAAAAGAATTGTTAAATGTAACAAGCTTACACAAAGCTTTGCTTCAGCATACTCTCATTGTACTTGGGAGCGGTAGTTGTGTCTGAATTGCTCTGTCAGTGTTTGCTCTTTAACTCAAAGCAAAATAAAAAATTATTTAAATATTGTTTTTTCTTTATTTCATCAAAAGACACAAGGGTCCTTTTCCCAGCAACATATGCACAAAATGTCTTAGGCTAAGTTCAGTGTCGTAGAGCTACATTGAAAACATATGAACATATGAATAATATTTTATTATTTTATTATTTATTTGATCCAGGAGGCCCTTTAGCCTCAGTGTGTGTGACATCTCTGGCATACAGTGTCCCCAGTCCAACACACATTTTCATGACTTGAAGACGTGTTTGTGTGGAGATCTGAGGATGGAAACTGTGGTTGCTGTGGTTGAGCTAGTTTGTCACAGAAACAGCTTGACGGGGCTGTGTCACAAACGGTAAGAGATAAAGGCCAGACAGAAC